CACAGTCTTCAGCTTTCAACGTGGAAACAAAAAGATTTGGTCCTTCGTCACTCCTTTGTGGTCCCTTCACCTACTTACTGGCTCAAAAGGTTGTGCTTCCTTCTCTCTGCCAGTTTCCTGGGATCAAGCAAGACATGATACATGAAGAGGGCATTCAGACTTGAATCAAATGTTACCTCAAGACCAGAAGAATGACTATCTTTGCATCCGGTATGTGGACTTCAAGGAGGTTGCATCTTCTGTGAGCAGATGAGTATAATGTGCTCTTTTTAATTGAAGCAGCGTCATCTTTAGCTTTCATCATAGCATTATCTCAAGTTTGAGAGTCTTTAGAGAAGCTTAGACGTTAGACGAGGATATCGTTTTCTTTCTTGCTAGTTATCAACATTTCCTTCACTTTCTATGAAGAATTAGATTGATCCATTTGTAGAGTGCTTGTAAGAGTGAGAGATGAAGAAACTGAGGGAATTCAACAAATTAATTTCATGTTTATTTTGGAAGGGGTCTGCGAATACTGTGTTTTAGGTGTTTGAATAGCCTTGGTCTGTCTGTATGGTCTTTGTTCTATTTTTGTTTGTTTTTCATTCTGACAGCACCTGCTATTTAAGAGAAATTTAGTATAGGACATGGTGCTCTGATGAAAAAGGCTTATAGTGGCACCAAAGATGAGGTATAACTTCCAGTTCTAGTAATGCCTTGTTGATTCTTTTACTCAGATTTGGCTCTTAATTAGGATATGTATATCCAGACAACTTTAAGTCATCAGTTATTGATTGTTTGAACTGCACATGGAGAGATTCGGAAAGACAGAAGGCTGGTAAGACTGGCTATAATCAGATTTATTATCCTGCACTCAAACTGACGTTTAGATAGTTATCTTCTTCTAAGCCTGGCTCACATTTAGAAGCAGTTTATCTGCTTTTGTACAATTGATGCTCGAGATGAGCACGAAAGGTTCCTCATGGAATCAGTCTGCTTCAGCATGGCTGATACTGAGATAGAGTTAATAAGCAGTCAGACCCTCTGATTTCTGCAGAGATCTTCTGAAGTCCACATACTGTGATTCACCTCCCCGTCCACCAGAGACTTAATTCTGATGCTGTGCATTGTGTCCTCAAGTACAGCACTGGGGAGCTCCTGGCTAATGGTTTTGCCAGAGATAAATGGCTGCAACTCAGCTGGATCTTAAGTTAAGCCAATTCCAGTGTTCACTTCATACTCCTCTGCTTCTCCCCTCCTCTTTTTCTTCTCTATGAGAGTGCTCCTAATTGTAGATAAGGGTTATTTTGCTCTAAACATTTGACAATTTGCTGAGGGGTTTCCAGGTTGAATCCTAATGGTGTTTTCTTCCTATTCTATGTAGATTTTATTTGTAAAAGAAAAATGCTGTGATTAGGAAATAAACTATTTTTGTGTCCACATCCTCAGTAATTTGGAGGCCCAAGAAGACAAAATCATTCAGAGGTGGGAATCAAGGAATCAAGTAACTCACTGAATCTTGCAAATATTCATCTGATGGTTTTTTGGTGAGGATAGTATGATAGTTTAGTTCTTTAGATTCACACTTGTTTCCACCATTTCTACATGTGCACCAGTTGGCTTGGGGTTTTTGTTTTTTGTTTTTGTTTTACACAGTGCCCAGGAATTTTATTGGAAGAAAATAATTATTTCTGCAGTGTAGGTTTTGTTTTAGCTTTATAGATATGATTTTTTTTTGTTGTTTTTTTTCCTGTGACCGTAGTAAGGAAACATGAGGAAAGAGATCAAAGATGTTAACCCAATGATCTTTTAGGGCAAATTACATGACTACAAGGAAAACATCTGAAGTTCAGTCTCTCATAAAGGTTTAATATAATATTTATCATAGGCAGTTGAATGATGAAATAGATTTGTCTTGCATTTGTCCAGATTACAGTACCTAACATAGCATAAAAAATTAGAGCTTCTTGGATGCTCTTGTTTTCAGAGTTGTAGAATAAGATTTGGTTGAAGCAGTGAGGAGAGAAAATCTCAAGTGAAGGAACTCTTCGCTCTGAAATTTTCATTTCATTCTCCTTGGTTTTTTTTTTCTCGTTTATTTGTTCTTTAATCCTTATTAACTTATCTAATAAAAGCAGCTCTTTCCTCCCACAACCTTTGTTACATTCTTAGCTAATTTTCTCTTTTGCATCTGAAAGTGGGTAACACTACCAGATACTTGCTGTTACAAAAAGTCCTGCCCATGCAGTTAGTTGAGTACTCTTTGAATACTGAGCATGGGGCTCTTTACAGGCTGCTCATAGTCTTTCACAAAGATGAATAGAGTAACCTAGAAAAGCTTTATAACATTGATAAGAAGATAATGATTTGTTTCCAATCTCTCATACATGGTAGATTATACTATCATAATGCACAGAAAATAGTGTGCCAATTACAGATTTTATGGGCAACCGTGCCTAATATTGAAGATTCTTATAAATCTTTTTTTTTATACTGGCCTCCAAATTAGCTATTTTGTTTTCTGCCTATTTTTTCCTCTCATGTCAGTAATTTAAATGAATTGGTTATTGTATTCTGACAGCTTCAAACGTAACTGCATAAACAGCTCTGTTGGTAGTGCTGTCTGAGAGAGCTGGAAAGCTCCATTTGGCAGAGGGATGACAAGTGAGTGCTGCAGTCCCAGAGTGCTGTTTTGGCACAGCAGGTCTAAATGAACTTAATTTCATGTCCCTCATAAATCCTGCTCTCCAGTCATTTCCTTGCAATCTGATGATTTATCTGTTTTCTTGCTTCCTTGATTACTCGTGTGCACAGTGACTTCATTCCCCATATCTGAAATCAGAGCAAAAGAATAAAGAACTTCGTCTAATTTTATTTTTTTTTAATTTAGAAATGTAATCATGAACATTTTTGTGAACAGAATAGGCATTTGGTCAAATCTTGAAAGTAGATACAGTCTGTCCAACTAGTAATGTTCTTTCTCCTTCTCCTCAAGTTGTGCTAGTTTGGTATCTCTGGTCCTTGCTTAGATCTTAGTTTCCGTAGGTTCATGCAGCTGTCTTTTCATTTCCAATTCTAAAACTCATACACTGTTTTTTGTACAAAACCAGCATAATTACAATTTTTTTTTTTTTGTCTTTTATAATTGTTGCTTTCATAACTGTGCAGCACTGAGATACATATTCTTAAGACTGCATAAGAAATTCCCATCTTGCAAAAGCATCTTTCTGTGGGATGCAGAATTCATGGCATGAGGCCAGAGAGGCTGTGGGGTCTTTTCCCTGGGGATCTCAGCACTGCCTGTCCACAGCCCTGGGCACCCTGCTCTGGGTGCCCTGCTGGAGCTGGGGTGGGCCTGAGGGACCCAGAGAACACTGCCAGCATCAACCAGCCTGTGGTTATGTGAAGGCTTTTTTCCCTTTCTTATTTGTTTCTGCTTTAATTTTATAGAGCTGTGCTCACTGTAGCAAATAAAGGAACTCCTCAGCATTAGAGTTTATTGATACTACTGTCAGCAGCCTGATGAGGAACTGAATCCCATAACAGAATCTGAAGGCCTGGTTTCTTCCAGCTGCTTTTAAAATTGGTGCCTAAACTAGCATCGTTGCCATTTGTTCTAATATCTCTTTAAGTTTTTTACAGGTGAGTGGTGAGGTGCTGGAACAGGCTGCCCAGAGAGGCTGTGGATGCCCCGTCCCTGGAGGTGTTCAAGTCCAGATTGGATGGGGCCCTGGGCAGCCTGGTCTAGTGTTAAATGGGGAGGTTGGTGGCCCTGCATGTGGCAGGGGGGTTGGAGATTCATGATCCTTGAGGTCCCTTTTAACCTGGGCCATTCTGTGATTCGCATCGGTTCATGGCCTCCTCTTTCCTTACTTTTTTTTTTTTTGGTATTACCTCTGACTAGCTTTGCTTCTTTGCCTGTACATTCTTCCATTTTTCAAGGAATATTTCATCAGAAGTATGTAAACTCTTGTGCTATGAAACTGTTTTTTCATCAAAGTACGTTTTGCTTGATGCTTGCCAGTGCTTACAAGATCAGCTTGGAAAAACATGCGCAGTTCCAAATACCGCACTCCCCTCTTAAAGGCAGGCCTGCCTTCCTTTACATCTGCTACTACCATAGTCTTTTTTGTTAAGTTTCATATTTGGTTTATACTTAACCTACACTAAAAGCACCAACTGAAAGCATTTTGTGGTTTGAGAAAGGATGTGCCTTTTGTGGTTGCACGACAGCGTGTGAATCCGTGACAGTGTTATCTGTGAGGCTGAGCAGAAGCAGTTAGGTATTGTTGCTGAGAATGAAACCAGCCTTCAAGAAATTCTTTTTCTACCCTTATCCTGCATCTAATATTGCTCCCCCTTTTCCACTTGAACATGTGGCAGTGCTGCAGCCTCCTGGTGGTATGCATAAACTGAGCCCTGCTGTTAGATTGTGGTGTAGAGTAGGATCTGCTTTATGGACTTAAGTTTTCAGCTTTGGTTCTAGGTGTTCTTCTGATAAATGATTCTGGAAGAAGAAAATGGTGTTGCTGTAAGGGCTGCTGTAGAATTATTATGCCCAGAGAAATAGTTTTTTCTACTCCCTCTTGTCTTTAAAATCCCATTCCAGCCATGTGTATCTAAAATGTGATAAACGTACAGTAATTGGCACCTGCAAACTTCAGTGTTTGGGTTGCTGTCAGTATGTGCCTCTTTTTTGCTTTGAGTCTGTGGACAGGTTTATTGATAACGGGTGTGTGTTGTTGCTGGAGATTAGTTGCATCTTTATCCTAGCACTGCTGGGCAATAATGGAAAGACTTCAATCTTTAGGACTGTAATGTTCAATATGCAATTTTTACCATGATCTCTCACTTTCTACCTTTCGGGTCAGTAAGCACCTTTTTCTTCTGTCAGCTCTAAAAATTTTAGAAGAATAATTCATTTATACCATAACATATTGGATGTGGCATTGTTTAATTGTAACAGAGTTATTGCTTACAATGTAATGTAACGTTTGATGGTTTTGCTTTCTGTCTTGCAGATCTAGAAATGGCAATTGCATACTGGAATTTAGTCTTGTCAGGAAGGTTTAAATTTCTAGATCTTTGGAATAAATTCTTGTTGGTAAGTACACAGTCTCTTCATCCTTGACTGTTGTAGTCTGCAGCAGTTTGGCTCATGTGGGTGGTACTGTGCTCACTATAAAGAGACAGACTTTCTAAATGCCTCCTTCTAAAGTTCCTCCTTTTTGTAAGCTGATATAAGAGAGTCTTAGACCAAGCCAAAATAAATCTTCATATAACTTTCCTGGAGAAGAAAGCAAAAAGATGTAGCAAAGCAATAGTGCATTCTACTGGCTTAATCTTGTGTCCTCCTACTTACAATAACTTCTGCATGAAATGAGGCCATAATTGCAGATCGAACTGATGTTGTCTTTATTCTCAAGACAGCTGTGATTGCTGTTAGCCACATATTTGTGCCATGCTCTGCCTTTAGTGGTATTAATGCATAAACTGTTTTGTGGTTGGTTGGTTGGTTTTTGTTTTTTTTAAAGTCAATTCTGTTATGACTGACTTAACCTGAGAGGCAACTTTTTAGCAGAAGTTCTTTCTCAGAGTAATTATTTTGACTCACTTTGGATAATAGCTGTGAACTGATCTTGACAACTTTGAATTATCAGTGCAGTTCTGTGGGTAGTGGAGTAAAGATGTATAAATTAAACTTTAGAAATTACAAAATGTTCTTCATAAAGATGTGATCTATTCATCCATGTTCCATTTCTACGTACTTGCAAAAAATGTTTAATTTATTTGGACTTTTCAGTTTGATTTTTATCAGTAGTTCAGGACAATAAAAAGTTTCTTCTGTACTTTTTTCTATATTTTCCAAGTGTATACTTTTCATAATAATTGCTTAATTTATTTTTCTAACATTTTGGGGCAGTATATTTTCTTCATTGACTATATGTATCAATTCCATTGAGAGAATCTATGAAAATATTTTACATATTAACTGCCTTAATACACTTAGCACTTAAAACATGTAAATACAGATATATATATATATATATATATATATATATATATATATCTGAAAAAAGTTCTATTCAGTGTGATCAAGTCTGTTACAACAACAGTTCTACAGAGCTAGCAGTACTAATGTTCTGTTATAGACTGTCTTATTTTGCTACAAACATTTAACCTGAACCAAAACTTAAGAAGAAATGCATGGATGGGGGGGAGAAAAAAACAAACAAACAAACAAAAACTAAATAGCAGCAAGCTAAGGATTCTTTATGGTGTTATATTTTAGTTTGCTTGTTTGTTTTTAAGGAGCCTTTTCTAGGAGATGATGTTTGCTTGTCGTATCTTGACTGAAAAAAAATATTTGGTTTGCTGTTGTGTTGGGTGTCAACTTCATTTTGATCAAGTTCTGGGTTTTTAGAAATGCAGTTTGTTAGTGCTGCTGATTATTAGTGCATTAAAAAATACAGAAAAACCCATTCCACCGAGCCTGTTTTTACACGCAGTTACAATTTCCTGCTGCAAATCAGATCTAGGTTTCAGGAGTGAAATTGAATTTCCAGTTAATCACCCCTGCTGACTTCATTTCATCTGTTGATACTGCTGCATTACTTGATCCTACAGCTCACAATTGCTTAGATGTTGTGATTCTCCACAGTATCTTCCATACCATGTGTTTCTGCTGCTTTCCTTTAGAGTAATTGAGGCACTTCACTGACCATCCTTTGAGTTGTTTCTGTTTGCTAAGCTGGCAGAAAACACCATTCAGATAAAACTGCATTTTTCTTTCTCTGGGCTAATCAGGAGGTTTCTCATGGGGGTCAGAAAAGTGCCAGAGCTTGCTCAGATTGTTCTGCAGAATTGTGTGGCTGGTTGTGGTGTGGAACAGAAAGGATGGAAAGAGAAGGGAGTGTTGCTTATGGCCAGATCCTTGATCCAGTTGATCAAGTTGGGGCTGGCATGGGGAAGTGGAGCAAGGTGTTAAGGTTCTGAAGGGGATTGAGAGGAAGAAAGAAAGAGAATGCAGAGGCTGACTAAAAGCTGAGAGAACACTGACTAGAACGGAAGCTTGTCTGCATGCTGCTCAAACTGGCCACGCTGGAAACATACTAGAAATTAGACAAAGATGTGGTAATGGAGAATAGAACAAGTGGAGCAAATGCAGATGGGCACTACCGTGAAGGAACAGAATCATCATAGAATGGTTTGGATTGAAAGGGACCTTTTAAGATCACTTGGTTCCAACCCCTTGCTGTAGGCAGGAACATTACTCTCTAGACCAGGTTGTTCAAAGCCTCATCCAGCCTTGCCTTGAATGCTTCCAGGGCGGGAACATCCACAGCCTCACTGGCAGCCTGTCCCAGTGTTTCACCACCCTCACAGTAAAGAATTCCTTCCTAATACCTAATCTAAATCTACCCTCTTCCAGTTTAAAACCATTTCCTCTTCTCCTGTCGCTACCTGCCCTTATAAAAAGTCCCTCTCCAGCTTTCCCTGTAGGCCCCTTGAGGTACTGGAAGGCTACTTCACTAAAGGCTGAGATTATGGGTCCAGAAGGTAGCCTGGGAGTGAAAGGAGAAAGGCAGGTGCAAGTGCAACTGTAACTGTATTGAAAAGACAGACTAAGTAAAGGTAGGATGAAAGGGCTCAAGTTGAAGTGGTTGGGCAATGAGATCCATAACTGGAAGTGCAAAGTACATGCTTGCTTTCTTTTCCACCTTTCTTAGTAGCAGTTTATTTTGTAGTTTCAATTTATTAAAGTAAATAATTGTAAACCACCTGTTTTTGTGCATGTCAAAATAAAATACTTCTGTGGAATTTACAAATAGATTATATTGAACAGAAACCTTCTTCTTTTATAGGAACATCATAAAAGATCAATTCCAAAAGATACTTGGAATCTTCTGTTAGACTTTGGAAATATGATTGCAGATGATATGTCCAACTATGATGAAGAAGGTAAACAGTGTCTGAATATCATCAAAAATTTATACAACATTATTGAAATATTGCTTTAAATAAAAAACAGAATATAGAATCATAGAGTGGTTTGGGTTAGAAGGGACCTCAAGGATCATCAAGCTCCAGCCCCCCCTGCTACATGCAGGACCACCACCCTCCCCATTTAACACTAGACCAGGCTGCCCAGGGCCCCATCCAACCTGGCCTTGAACACCTCCAGGGATGGGGCATCCACAACCTCTCTGGGCAGCCTGTTCCAGCACCTCACCACTCTCTTGGTGAAGAACTTCCCTCTGACATCCAACCTAAATCTTCCCTCCCTCAACTTAAAACCATTTCCCTTTGTCATGCCCATTATGTCCTCTTTCAAAGAGTTGACTCCCCTCCTGTTTGTAGGCTCCCTTTATGTACTGAAAGGCTGCAATGAGGTCACCCCGCAGCCTTCTTTTCTCCAGGCTGAACAAGCCCAGCTCCCTCAGCCTGTCCTCTTAGGGGACATGCTCCAGTCCCCTGATCATCTTCATGGCTCTCCTCTGGACCCTCTCCAACAGCTCCCTGTCTTTCTTGTACTGGGGCTCCAAACCTGGACAAGTATTCCAGATGGGGCCTCACAAGAGCAGAGCAGAGACGCACAGTCACCTCCCTGTCCCTGCTGGCCACCCCTCTTCTGATGTAGCCCAGGATACCATTTGCCTTCCGAGCTGCAGGAGCACACTGCTGGCTCATGTTGGGCTTTTCATCCATCAGGAATCCCCAGTCCTTCTCTGCAGGGCTGCTCGCGAGGGCTGCTCCTTCCAGTTTGTATGGATGCCTAGGATTCCTCTGGCCCAAGTGCAAAACCTTGGACTTTGCTGTGTGAACCTCATCAGGTTCACCTGGGCCCACCTTTCAAGCCTGTTGAGGTCCCTCTGAATGGCATCCCTTCCTTCCACCATGTCAACTGTACCACTCAGCTTGGTGTCATCAGCAAACTTGCTGAGGGTGCACTTGATTCCATCATCAGTGCCGTTGATAAAGATGTTACCTGTTGCCAAAACATTAAAGATTAAAAACTTGCTATAATATGTTGATGAAAGGTATATCATGGTGTGACAATATCTTTACAGGTAATATCTGAAACTGTTATGGTACAAGTGTCACAGTATTGCAGTACAGAGATACTGCAAAACTGTATGTCTCTTTTTTTTTAATCTTTTTAGAGACTATGCCAACTTATTGCCAATAATAATTAATTTCTGAACTGCATGCCTTCTCCTTAGGAGCGTGGCCTGTTCTTATAGATGATTTTGTGGAATATGCACGACCGGTAGTCACAGGAGGAAAGCGTAAAACTTCCTAACCGCAGACTCATCAACGTGGACTAAATGCACAGTCTGAACTGCATTAGGTAATGAAGATTTGTTGGCTGATAGCTGTGCACATTGTTGCTGGTTTCAGTGGTCATGGTGAGATTCCAGAGACAAAATGGAAATTCTTCCTTTCTGCCTAACGAAAATGATGGTTGAGTTGTGGACGTTTCGTGAACAAGCTCAGAAGATGGTCCAGGCTGATTGCAGGCTATTGGCTTCAATTATTGTACTGGTTGTATCATATAGGATGTAGATTTTGCATGATTTTATACTTTGGAGAAGTTTAACTAGAGGCCATTTTATTATTGAAGTTTTGACAGCACAGCATGCCATTGAGTTCATGATCCAAAGTGAACACCAGCAGTCAAATAAACAGAACTGTATTATATTGTACCTATATTAAAGGCAGTATTTGTGGTATATAAATTAAATCCCTAAATAAAACTTATGCAGTATGTTGTGTTTTTATAGAAGTTAGCTCTGTGGATGTCTTAATAGAGAATTGTAAAAAAACATGCTGTTTTATATTTGTATTTATATTTGTAAGCCTTAGCTACAGAGATTGATCACATCCAGCCTTTTATCTTCCACTGAGGCTGACTTCTTCATCACTGTGTTCTTGAAGTGCTTGCACATGCATTGCTGAGAAGGAGCTGCTTCTCTATCCTGTGTTGTGACTTCAGCTTTTTGTTAACCATTTTAAAGTTGACTTTGTGCAACCAAAGATGCTTTTATAATTCACGTTTGATATCATTATTCAGTTAGTCTTTACGTATTTTTTTAATTTGAAATAATGGATTGGGAGAATATAACTTGTAGCCTGAAACATCATCAATTCTAGCAAGATTCAACAGCTTGGGAATGCAATTCCTGACACATCTCCTAGAATGTAAGCATGCATAAGCCTGGGCGCTTCAGTAGTTGGCTTTGACTTTGGAAGTAGTTAGAAGTAAAGAAACTTCACATTAATGATGATAGTCTCTGGATATTTTGTATATTCAGTAATGTTTATGTGAGGGGGGAAAAAAAAATAGCATCACTGATCTCAAGGCTAGTCGAATTGGATCTGAATGTGTTTTTCTCCCCTTTCAGTAGCTATCTATTATAAAGTGCATAAATGTCAATATCCTTCTTGCCAATGTCTTCCAATGCTTTAGCACAAGGCTTTTTACACAGGGCTCTTGTAAACACTACCTCATCAAAAAGAGGTGGCCAAAGTTTGTTAAAGCAAGGAGTTGCTAAAGAATATTTACAGGTATGATTAATACGTGTGCTGTAATCAGAGCTGCATAAATAGAAGAATTGGAGAAGATTTTGCATTAAGTTATATAACATATCTATTTGGATCACATCAGGTAACTTCAATATTGCATGATCTTATTATATAAAAACTTATAAAACTTAAAGTCTTCTTTTTAGAAAAAACCCTCTAAATATTAGTTTCACGTAAGCAGTCAGCTTTCGTGTATGGCAGTGAAGCCTACAAGAACAAATGTACATACAGAGAGTTTACCAACATTCTTCTGCTTGACAAAACTTCAGTTGTGCATGATCTTTAAAAAGCAGGGCTTACAAATTAACCAATTTTCTATGTGTAGGGAGATAGCAGGCAAGTCACAAACGCCCAACTAGTTGGTTAGTATTCATCTTCTCACCCAAAGCAGTTTCTAAATGTTGGATCTTGCATGACAGCCACTAGATGTCAGTGTCTCAGTCTTCAGGCGCTTACCTGTATTGTGCAGGAAATGAGCCTGTTAGTTAACACGTACTCTGACTTCCTGACTTTCTTCTTAGAAGGGGATTTGTGTACATAACTCCAGCATTCTATGCAAGTCAACAGAGATTTAAAAACAGTATGACGCTCTTTGTAATGCATTCGATTTTTCTACTTGGCTTACAACTAAAAATTTCTGTGTCTGTCCTGTAGGCTTGGGAGAATAAATGTTACATCCAGTGGCATCAACTGCTTCTATCCAGCCAATAGCAGTGGAGTGCTTTCAGTTCACTATGTCACTTAGGATGTACAGGTATAATAGAGCAGAAATTATTTAATCTATTGGTGTATTATGTAATCAAACAGTTTCATAGCACTAGAGCTTGTGAAACATGCTGAGAACTCCCTCAAATCAACCTGATGACTCTTTTACGTTTCAGGATAAGTGGAGCATAACAAATGCATGTGGCTTGAGGCTTTTTGACTTAATAATCCAAGGAGGAAGGTGCTCAGCACAGCGTTCTATTTCCATACGGACACTATTGTTTGCCACTCTTAAGCCTTGCAACAGAAGAGGACTGGGTAAAAGTGTAGCAGGATTTTTATTTTTCTTTTGCTCTTTCCAGTCTTTTACCCACTTGAAACCACCTGTGCACTTTACCTTCCTATAAATATGGAATAAATATGGATTGTTCAAGCTTGAACAATCATAAAAGTAAATGCAAATAAACTGCTTTCGGATAATGACTTCCTTTTGAATTCTAGTATTTGCTGCTGTTTACTCTTACACTTCACAGTACTCTCTGACTCAGTTTTTTTATATACTGGTAATGCATAGGCTGATCAATTTATAATTATAAATGGTACAGAAATCTTTAAGTTGTTCCCTGCATACCATATTAGTTCCTAGATAAGCTGTTTGTATTTGTTAAAGTTGTTGCCAAGTTGGTTGGTTTTACATCCTAGAGCGTTTGAAACTGAGCCATAGGATTTGTACTTGCCAATTCTAAATTTAAATGTAATTTATCATGTGTGTCATTCCAAGAAGAACACACCCGCAGGCATCCATTTGTGCAATGCACCTGGGAGCTTTGCTGCCAAACGAGCTGTACGTGTGTGAATTTTGTGGCAATGGAAAAAAAGGAATAAAGGGACTTGGAACATAAGGGATCGAAGTCGGTCATGTGGGATCTCTGTATGGTTTTGTCAGCTTTCTGCTTTGGAAGCCTTGCAAGGACCAGTGGGATTTTGGTTTGTTTCAGTTAGTTTGTTGGATTCCTGCATTTTTATTTCACTGGGAAGAAGAGGGCAAGGGTATAACTCGACTTAGCAGTTACAATGGAAACAAACGTCTGCCTGTTTTGTTCATCTGTGCCACCTTTAAGCTTTTAAGCAGCTTGCTGTGTTTAGCTGCAGTGCTGGATCCACTACGCCTACCCAATAGCGACTGTACTCTCCCATTTGCATCCTCAGTTTGTACTAACCACGAGATGTAACTGGGGGGGAAGTCTTGCTCAGTCTTAGGTTCTGAGCTCTGCAGGCCAATCTATGCAGAGACCTTCAGAGGTATGTATTCAACTGTCCTTAATTCTCTTCTGAAAGTTTGGAGCAAAATAGGTGTCCTCTCTGCTTTCCCCATGGCATGTCTGTCCAGCTTCTGAGATGCCACAAGTGTTCTCCTGTAACAGCAAAACTGCTGATGAGTCATGGCAAAAAATGGCAAACTTTTCCAACCTGTAGCTTCCCTCAGCTTCCACCAGCCCAGCACCTGGCTCATCTAGAGGCACAGCCCTTCTGAAAGGGAAAAAGGTCATGTTTTGAAATAACGAGACCTTGTTATTTTTTATTTTTGGGGGGAAGAAGTATTCACCAAAGCATGCTTTCTGACATTTGCATTGTAAAGAATGTAAAGAGTGTCCTGGGTAGAATAAGGTGAGATGGACACCTGTGATGCTCAGCTTTTTTATTGTAAGCCGTTGATAGAAAGATCTGCAGCCACCTCTACACTCACAAACACAAGATGCCAAATTCCAGATCAGTGGGTACAGTGTTCACTTCTTAATGAGAAAACACCTGAAGAAGCTTAAGAATATTCACATTATTATTAAGTGATCAGGATGCTTCGTCTTATTGGCTTGTGTAGCTGCTTGACATCCAGTGTTTTTTCTCTTGTGCCTCTTAGAAGCAATGAGATGCTCTGTGCTCTGCCATTTGTTGTTAGACAAACCCTATAGGCTTCATGTGATGTTGTAGGCTTTCTGTCAAGGCGGTAAAAAAGAATCAAGTCTATGCTGCAGCATTAAAGGAACATTTTTCTCTCAAGGCAGCAGTGTGAAGCAGCATAAAAATGATGCACCCCCAAGCAATTAAACAAGTAAAGGCTTTGCTTGTTTTTTTCCTGGGTCTCAGTGTCTTCTATAACTAGTACCATTCTTAAAGATGTGATCCCTATGCCAGAGTGAAACCCTTCCCTTTGGTAGTCACATTGCATCTCTGATACATCTGGCCAGGGTTAGTGAATAGGTTCAAGTCTAAGCAGGAGCTGGAGCAGAAACAGAACTGTTGAGAAGCCCTGTCTGGTATCAACTGTGCTTCTCTGGGGTACAGCTCTGTATCCTTGGAATAGGTGAAATTTGAATCCAGGGCATTTCCTACTGAGCGTACTGACTGGCAGACTCACAGGTCAGGCACCTACGGCGTAGTCTTCTTTTACTCAAAATGCAGAGGGGCTGTTGGTGGCAGCCATCTCGGCTCATGCTCTGTTGACTGGAAGTAGCACATTTAAAGGACATCACGTGCAGTTTACAGATTAAATGAAAGCTCAGTTCTTTGTTGTGTTTTCAATCTAGCCTTATTTCCATTAGCTAAGGGCTTTGTTCCTAATTTGGGATACGTTACGAGCAGTCGAGTGTGCATGCAGCAGTGTAAAGTCCATGGGAGGCAAAAGGGCACTAAAACTGCCAGCTACTTTTAAGAGGATGAGATAGATGGGAAACTAAGAATAGCTTTGCCTATTTCCAGAAAGGAACCTTTCATCTGATAAGGCCCCTCCTAGCCCTCTGCAGTGCCTCAGCAGCTGGTTTGCAAGTCTTTCCATGTGCTTTAAAATGACAATATTCTGTAGGAGTGCCAAAGGCGTGCCGCAGCAGGCTACAGGCACCTGTAACTGAGATGTCAGACTGGCAGCTGCTATGCCTCCAGTGGTTTTTTGGAAGATGTGTTCGCCTGAATTTTCCATTTGAGTGCTCCCTTTCAGACCACCATAGAATCATAGAATCAATCACTCAGGTTGGAAAAGACCTTAAAGATCATGGAGTCCAACCACAAGCTAACCATACCACCCTAACTCTAACAACCCTCTGCTAAATCATGTCCCTGAGCATCACATGCAAACGGTTGCCCGTGGCTGGCCATCTCTGGAGCTGACTGCCCAGCCATGTTGCACAGCTCATGGCCCTCAGCCCTGTGCAGTTCCTCTGGGACATAAGGCATAACTGCCCTTTGCTCTGTGCTTTTTCCGTTCAGAATTGTTCTTTCCTACCAAAGAAACACACTCGTAGTGTCCTTAAAGCTCAGCACTTCTGTTACCTGTGTCCTAATCTTTAAGACACAAGTTGCTGCTTCCTCTGGTTTTGCTTATTTCTTAGAATGTAGAGCGAGGATGGCAAAGTTTATTTTCCATCCAAGTGCTTGGAAGCTATGTTAAGGTTTCTTGTGTGAAGTACAGTAGTATTCGTACTCATGTCAAATATCCTGTCTGTGATTAACTGCTTATCATTCTGGCAGGTAGCAGGATGCATCCTCGGCACACTGCCCTTTTCCATCTGAGGAGCAATCAGGATTGCTTCTCATAAAAGATCAGAGGAAAACAAAACTCTCAGATATCCTCTATCAAAAATTGACTTTACTGCAGTAAAGCCAATTGCATTCAAGTCAACACTTTCTGCACGACTGCTTGTATTTCAATCTGTAAACTGCTAGTAATTTGTGATTCTGTAGGTCAGCATGAACCTTGGAACCACAATTTAGGTTGGTCTCTATAGACCCTTGAAGGAAGATGCTGAGCCTACGTAGTTGGATTTGTGGGCAGTATATGTTCAGAAGGCTGCAAAACTGCAGAGCCCTTTCTTATACTGCCTGGCAGCAGCACAGAAAAAAACTACAACAACAGAATGAAGTGCTTGATTTTCCAAGCATCAACTTTGGAAGGATGGCATTAAGAAAACTCAGTTCTTACAAAGTGTGATTTCTCCATATATGAACTTTCTGAGATTCGCAGGATGCCATTTAAATACATCTTTTAAAATAGTTTCCTTTACGAGTGCAAATGTGGGCTGCATGTAAGCTCTGCCTTAGGAAAAAGTCATTCTTCGCCAGGCAGCAGCACATGGGACTGAAGCTGGCATTTTGCTCAGTGCTTGTCCAGGGGCGCAGTGAATTAACTAAACACTCCTGGTGAAACAGCAAGAAAGTTGCTGACAAAATATAATAATTAGAAGTGTGCATGTTACTTCAGATGGGCTTTCTTGTCACATAAGCCATCATTCTTGTGATTGCTGATTAATGGGCACCTCTTTTATTGCAGGCTTTCAGCTTCTCCATCAGTCCCTGAAAGCGAGACTGACTGCAGCCTATCAGAAAAGTGCAGGAAAATGTATTAATTTGCAAGTTATTAAATAAATAAACACCCTTGTGAAGCCATCTGTTTTTCTGGGTGTAGAATTACTTGCACTGGGTAGGGCTCAGAATTTCCTGGCTTGCTTTGTGCAGTGTGGGAGAAACGATGTTTTTGCACTTCGCTCTGTGGACGCGCTCCTGCAGTTCCATTGAACAAAGCCTCTGCAAAGTCCCCAGCTTATGAAATATTTCCTCTCCATTGGGTCCCAGTCAGGGGATGGCATCTGCAGAGCCAGAAAAGGAAGCTCTTGCCTTATAGAGAGCACTCGTGGGGTGACACAATGGCTGATATAAAGTGTCAGAGGAGCTGAGCTGAAGGCAAAGGAACAAAGAAAGATCCAGATCCAGTGGCTGGGAGAGGCAGAAGTGTCTCAAGGATGGATAAATTTAAGGCTGCGCTTGTACTGGCCGGGGTAGGGGATGCTCTTGGTTACAGAAATTTCTCCCGACAGGACAATGCTTTAGGTGCAAAAATCCAACAGGAGCTGAAAGAAATCGGAGGGCTGGAGAACCTGGTGCTCTCCCCAGACAAATGGCCAGTAAGTGACAACACGCTCATGCACATGGCTACAGCAGAGGCTGTCATCACAGGTAGGTAAGATGGATTTGGAAGTGCAGTCTGGAAAGAAACAAAGCTGTAGAATTGCTGCTTTTTCTTACAATAAGTCCGAGTTGGAAAAAAGTGTGTCAGAAATGCTGTTGATGTGAATGATGATGGTTAGTTCATCTCTTCCATGAGCATGGTCCTGTGGCCACCGCTCCAGCTGAGGAGCTGTGATTTCTTTCGTGTGGAGGGGCTCTCTCTGTGCTTCCCCTCATTTTATAAAGCTGGCTAAAGCTTAACGACTTGAAATGCTGCAAGTCAAGAGCAACAAAACAACTGGTAGAGTGGTTAAGTAGATGATCTGTATGCTACATACACCAGGGATTGGCACAGCCACTAGAAAGAAACCTGTCTGAAATTCTTCCATAAAAGATCAGAGCTTTCATGAGTACATTTCTAACATGTTTGTGCTTCATGCTCCAGGCGGGGGTGAAGTACCCTTGATATCTCGTCCTGGCTAAAATGCAATGGCAGCAGAGGAGCAAGCTGCTTTGTAGAGAGAGCTCTGCACCTTTAATCCAAACAATATTCTAAAATATGATGATAATAAAATATATCCCAATGGTGAAAGTTATTAATATGTCTTCTAAAAGCACAGCAGTTTGAGAGGAAACCTTTTTTTTTTTTATAAGGTAGTACTGTTTGTCAGAGTAAGCGATATTTTTATCAACACCCTATCCAATGAACTAAGGCTTTCTGAGACCATCTGGGTTGTCACCAGAAATTCTTCACAAGACAGCTGCCTTTCAGCAACATTTTGTCTCCTCCAAATGAAACAAATTTTTAAAACCCATTTCCCTTAACACGTGTAGCACTGGATAACTACTAGCAGCAGAGCCCAACAGTGAAGCTGAGTATTGTTATAGTCAATGAATGTGCGTCTGC